AAATACCACAGGCTATTTTGGGCAGGGATCCTGAAACTCCTCACTTTGTTTTAACCGCTATGCAAAATATTTTCTGGGACCTCTGAGACTTTTTTGGAAACATCTGTGGAAAATACCTTCTAAAAATGTCACTGTCTCTCTAAAAGTAGTAGTCAGGACACACTCACTTCACTTCTCAGTCTTGTATGTAAGTAGTTATGTGTGTGCTTAACATTACCGTCACACCTCATTCCACTGATCTATCAGATTGGATCACAGCTTGCAAAAATCAAGTCTTGTGTGTGTGTGTGTGGTAGATGTTAAGTGTATGCTGGTGGAGTATTCATTGCAGTGAGCCAATAGCTTGTGCTCAGGTTGGTAAGCCTGCTTTTACCTTGTTTTGTTAACCTGTCTAACTCTTGTTAACCACAGGAACTGCCCAGGCTGGCATAAAAGGGGAGCATGCAAATATGTTCAGGCCAGCCTATACTTGTACAAGTGGTTTGCACAGTTAGGGCTGTTACACAGTCTGCTTGCTTCTGCTCCTCACTGTGTGCATGTAGAAATCATTGTTCCTCTTCATTGGCAGTACCCTACTGCACTCAGATTGAATGGGGTGCTGGGAAAATGCCACTGAAACATCTGGTCAGAGAAGGGTCAAAGCACGCAGGACTGGTGTGGGACATCCGCCTCTGCTCTCCCCTCCTGTCCGTGCACTGTGCCCTCACTTGAAGTGGTAAAATGGTTCCCACCGCTGTGCACTAAACCAGCAGCTGAGAAGCACTGACATGGCATTTCCACACTTTCTTTAGTTTATTTTACCCAGTAGGTTCCTCTGTTTGGTCACCTCCAGCAGCAGAAACAACAGTTGGGGCTACTGAGGTGCGACGCCGGGATAGGAGTGAGCGAGTGGCCAGCAGAGGAGAAAGCCTGGGGGGAGCAGTGGCCGTGCAGCCAGCATGGCCACCATTAGAAACGCCTGTGAAGCTGCGCTTTGACTCCTTTTCCTCAGGAACGCTCCCCACACAGCCTTCCCCAGCTGCTGCTGTGGAACCAGTCAGGTCACCCATCGTCCGGGCAGTGCGCATCATGGCGCAGTCCGCTTTCAGGTACACTAACTAGATTTTCAAGTTTCGGGATCTCAGGCAAGCTAGCACTTCACCCTCCTTGATATCTGAAAGGGTAGCACCAAGCACAGCAGGCAGCTGGTGTATGCAGTGAGTTAGTGTGAGCTCATCCTAGGTATTTGTGAGAAGCATAAATACTCATGTAGTGCTTGTAATGACTGTCAGACTGTGGTGTTCACCTGGTGAGGGGATGTGAAGCTGGGGCGGCTGTACTTGCTGCCTGGCTGCTGAGAGCTTTTGCGTGAGAAAGATGAAGCCAGAACCCACTGCAGCATGAGACTCCTACAAGAGAAGCCTGGCCTTCAGATGCCATTGCCCTGCACTCCTGGGGACTCTGGCCTTGGAAGCTCTGTAGATACAGACCAGGGTTCCCAAGGCCTGCCTAAGGGCAGCTATCACAGGCCTTGGGTTGTCTGTGTCTTGAAAACCACTGATGGGATCCTTCTGCATCCTTTGGAGGAGCTTTAGTTTAATGATAGCTAAACCTGTAAAAGATTTGTGATGTTAGCTGCATTTTTTCACAGCCATCTTTTTTGACGTGGGAAGGGTTTGTTACTGGCTTGCACTTCTGCACCAGTGGGTCCTGAGCCCCTGAGCAGACCCTCTCTGCAGTCGAAAGGCAGAGGCAAGGCGAGATGGGCCATGCCCATGGAAAGGTGGCTGTATAGTTTAGCTGCATGCTGACTGCAACTTCTTAACAGAGAACTTGTGTATGCAGGCTTTGAAGCCTGTCACCCTCTCAGGGCAGTGGTTTGGGGCCAGTATCTTACTCTTTGGGACAGAGACTGTTTTGATTTACTTTTTGGATAACGCTTATTTCATGGTGGCCCGCTATGGAATGTAGTTAGTCATGACCAGAGTTTAAAAAAGGAAAAAAAAAAAAAAAAAAAGGAAAAAAAAGGGGGTAAACCCCCAAAACACCCAGTCTGGGACTGTGGCTGAATAACCTAACTGACTTTCTGTGGTTTCCGTGGCTATTCAGAGTGCTGAAAAAAGATGAAGACACTGGTATTTTCACAAATATTGCCAATTTACAGGGTACATGTTCAGTATTAGAAACTATCATTAAAGTCTCTCCAAGTAATGTGGAACAATGCATAAATTGAGCTATATATTCTATATAAGTATTTGTTCCTTTAAATAGCATGTCCAGGACTGGAATAGCAGACACTTTGCTGGATGCAAAAGGGATTTCACTGGCAGAGCTCTCTAGTGCCTGGTTTAGGAAAATGTTTCCCTTACAAATGCCAAAGCTGCATACCTTTTTACTTCTGTGCTGTAGTTTGTAGTTTTTAGCGTTATGGCAAGTGTGTCCAGCAGTTGAAGTTCGCTGTGGGATATTTGGCTCTCTCTGGTACAGACTGAAAGGACCTTTAATCTTAATTTTTTTATTTCCCCCCCCCCCAATTCTGGAATGGATGGATTATACTTTTCTGGTACACTTTTGTTTTGAAATGCTACTATTCCATTTGTTTGCTGAGTCAGTAACTTACCATAGCTATCTTGTTTCTTGGAATTGTATTGATGCTGTAAAAGTTAACGATTTCACTACCTATAAAAAATGAAATTGCCGCTCTGCCAGCACTGCCTTCTATTTTGAAAGTATACTTGCAGGACGTGCTTATGCACATCAATTTCCAGCTTTGGTGCCAGCATGAGCCCATTCTGTTTATTCCCCACAGTTGGAGCTTTGTGTGTTTTGGGGAGGATTTCTGCTTTGCAGCAGCAGCAGTTTTAGCAGCTGTGTGCTTTGAGGCCCCTATCTCTGCTGGCATGAGATCCAGCAGTGGATGGAGGGAAGGGCAGCGTGGGAGCAGGCTTGGACTCTCTCTGTTTCATGTCTCCTGCAAACCCAAGAGCTGTTGTTGAAAGAGAAAAGGGCCTCTGCCACATGCTTTCTGCAGAGCTGAAGGGAGGAAGCCCGATCTTGGGTGTTGTGGCAGATAGACATGGCAAGGAAACAATAAACTGGGAGTCTTTTCAAGACACTTCTTCAAATGATGTTTGATCAGCCAGGTTGGTTGTGAGACTGTGGTCTTACATCAGATATGTGTCTGGAAACAGACACATGAAACTCCCTTTTCTGGGTCAGTCATTGGTGGTGGAAGAGGAAATGTCCTGGGAGGAAAAAGGCACATACAAGCCAGCAAAGTTTGTCTGGGTGACTCAAATGTGGCACTTGTGAATTCTGAATCCCTTGTCAAGGGCTAAGGAAACCCATCCCTCTTGTACAGTTGCTTGGTAGACAGCAGGGGATCCTCTGATCCATGGTCCCTCTGAGGGATGAGGAAACACTGGGAAAAAGCAACCTCGATCTTCTTGAGTCCCTGTCACTGGCCACAGACCACCCCTGTGCTACACACCAGCCACAGTGGGACCCTCAAAAATGGGGGTGCTGCAGGCCCAGGTCTCTCTGGGTTGGCAACAGTGAGACCTGGAAGAGGGGTTCCCTGCTCCTGGCTGCTTGCTGATGTCCAAAACTGTCTCCTGTGGTCACGGGTGCTGAGGTAAGCACATGAGCCATTTGAAGCTGCTGCCTATTGCAAGGACTGGCTTGGCCAAGAACAGTGCTGCCTTATGTATAAAAATAAGGCTTATATTTTTATATATGACTTTTCTAAATGTAGAAGGCAGGGAAGGTGAATCCAGCTTCTTTGAAAGTTAATGATACTGTTAACAGTTAGGAAATAATAAGCATCAAGATAGAGCCCTTGTAGGATTTATCCAGTACCTTTTCCCTGTTGAATAAGGCAATTACGTGGTTTTTGCTGTGCTTCGTGGTTTTTGACTTGGTGGACTCTCAGTTGCAAGTAAAAAGAACTAAAATACACAAGGAACTCTGTCTCTAATAATGATTAAACACTGGAGACAGTAGCAGCTGAAGTGTGATTTGCTGTTATTTTCCTTGCAGCTGTGATTTTTTTCCCTTGCCACCCAGTATGTGGGATCACCATTTTCACCTTTGCAAAGGGTGTCTAAATAACTGTGAATTTGTCTTTCTTCTGCTTTCTTCAGTACAGGATGATGCCATTGTATTTTGGGTCCTTCAAGCTCAGCTCTCTTTGTTCACAGCAAGCCCAGTATTTCCAGAGTCTTTCTCTACTGCCCAAAATATTTAGAACTTTTAATGTAGCTTATTGTTTGTTTGTTTGGGTTTGTTTGGCTTTCTTTGTAGCTGTTGTCTGTTTACAAAGCCTTCAGACCACTATCCCAGAGTGTTGCTGAAAGTTTTCCCAAGAGTTCCAGCAGTTTTCCTGTTCACTTTGATTTGCTCAAAGTCTTTGGTAGCATAAAAAGTTCTGTATCAGAAATTACAGAAAAGAAAAAAACAGTTTTTTGTTTGTGTGTGCACCAGAAATGGGACCTAAAAAGGACAGTATGGCTCTGGTGAATTGAAATGGATCTGCACAGCTTGTTTTGAAACAAAGCCTCCAGCTTGTCTTAAAAACCAAATTGTTTTGTCTCTATGTTAGAAGTAAACAATCTGGGGGTCTGTGCCCCTCTTGTGCAGATTTATCATTACAGAGGAGGGAGAGTGTATTGCAGAAAACAGAGATTTACCATTGCAATTCCTGTTCTGCTGGGTGAAACATGTCAGGACCACCAGTTGTACAGCAACAGTAAAGAGCAGGATTAAGAAATCTGGATCAATTCTTCCTCATCCTCTTCACTCAGCTTTAACGTGTGGGAAAAAAAGAAACCTATGTGCTTCAACCTAGTGACTTCTGATAAACAAGGCAATCTGCTTCCACTTAAATGCTGCTCAGCTGAGAAGAGAGGACTTAAGAAATTCTGGAGTTTTACAGGAAGTCTCACAGATTCCCTGACTGACTTTTGCAACAGAACCCTAAAGGGGGTGATGGAATGACTTGTGTTTTTTGTCTTCCTTTCCAGTTGGCCTGCTGCTGCGGTATTGCCGCTTGTTCCTTGTGCTGCAAATGCTGCCCCAAGATCAAACAGTCAACCAGCACCCGCTTCATGTATGCGCTTTACTTCATGCTGGTGACTATCATCTGTTGTGTCATGATGTCAACAACAGTAGCTAACGAGATGAAAACGCACGTGAGTAAGAGAGATGAACCCACTGCTGCCCTGGGAGGAAATGGGTCTCTTCCTGTCAATTCCTCACCTGTTGAGTGTGTTTCACAACATGAAGAGTCAAGGGACACAGGACAAGCAGTCTTCCTCCTCTTTCATTGAACTGCAGTGAGCCCTCCCCAGGTTTGCTGCACAGGTAGTGTCACTAAAGCCCATTAGGGGACATGTTATAGTAGAACAAATCAATTCAGTCCAACATTGAATTCACCTCTGGCAACTTGTTTAGTAGCAAAAGTATCAAATTAGAAAACAGCTGTTCAAGTGTTACATTTATAATTTTAATTCTGTGTTCTTGGTGCTGCGTGACAGACTACTGCCACGCATAATACTGCAGATCCTTTACAAGGGGTTTTCTTCAGTGTGTGTTGAGTCATCCTATTCACAGGGCTGTAACCACAGCAGATATTGTTCATCTCTAATTGTCTTTTTAATTAAAAAGCTTCTAAAGCATGAAAGAGCTGTGGCTAAAATTACTTTTTAAAACTCAGCTTTCTTTCAGAGTCTTTCCTAAGCTAAATGCTCAGCAGCCTGCTTGCACTCTCACACTGGACCTGATGTACCTTGTCTTTGGCTTGGTTTCTTCAGCTGGCCAAGCTGCTCTCAATAGCACAAATCCTCTCTCTCGTCCCCTACAAACTATAAGAAGAGAAGTTGTCCTTTAAGTAGAGGGAACAATGGCTGGATTGCTTAATTCTTGAAGTTTCTCCACCAAACTCACCCTTGGGCCTGCTTCGAGGCTGTGCATGCCCTGGAGGTTCAGAATGGTTCCCTCACTAAGAAGGTCACCTAGTTGTTTTGTGTTACCCTCCCAAGACCCGAGTGCCAGTGGGTGCACAGTTAAGGCTGTTTCCTCATTTAACCAATTGCTGGTCAAGCTTACCTTCTGTGCTTGACTTGCAGTTGTCTGTGAAACACTTAGCTCTTCGTCATTCAAGATCCAGAAGCTGGTGTTTGCACCCTGTGGCTGCAACACAGATGAACCAGCAGGCTTATGGTAGGGCTAGTTCGAGGGTTTCTGTGCTGTGCTGCCATTGACCTTTCTTTCTTCCCATTTCTTCCTCTTTGTATGTTCTGTCCTGATTTTCTTTCCTTTACTAGCACTTTGCTTGAGTTATTCTGCCACCACCTTCTTACCCCTGGCTACCAGCAGTTGCTGACAGCCCTGTAAGAGTACCCAGTACAGGCATGATGCTTGCCTGTGAGCTGTGACTGCTCAACATGTGCGTGCTGAATTTGCTTGCCAAGAATTACTTTGACTTACTGGATGCTTAGCTTGGCAAAAAAGTGAATAACCCAGGGAACTCAACTGTGTGGGAGACAAATTACGTGCTCATATACAAATTTCATAAAGTCATTTTCCATCAGTAGTGTGGTTTTAATGCAGCTTGTACCCCTAACAAAAAATACTCTCTCTTTATCCGACCGAAAAGTGATTCAGGAAGCCTTCAACAACATCCTTTTCAGTATTGCCAAATTTCTTTTCCAGTTCATGGTGTGGGAAGAAATAGCACAAAGTAGCTGTTAGTGTGAAGTGGAAAGATAATCACCCTCTTAATTTAGAGCATTTGATGTTTTTGAATGGTAAATGCGCCATATGAAAGTAGGCTTTCTTCATCTGCTCTCTAATTTAATAATTATATTTGGGGCTGTTGAAAGTTCAAAGACTCCTGAAACTAATTCAGCCCAGGTGTAATAGAGTGCACCTTGGAAATATTTACTCAGACTAACCAGTCCTCAGTTTCCCAGTGATGAACTGTGCTTTGAAAGTGTTTTGAAAGTGCTGGGAACTTACTGATTCCCCTGCTTTTGGCTGGATTGTGGAGCACTCCTAAGTCCTGAAGCTGGGCTGTAAGCAAACACAGTGCATCATGCTTCTAGGACCTCAACCCTCTTCGTTGAGAGGAGACAGACTTCTAATTAATTTTAATAAGATTTTTAAAATTGTTATGAAAATAAAAAATAAAATTTTAGTGCAGTCCTTTATGGAGCCATCATCTTGGCAGGGAACCATGTGTCTGCTTTACCAGTTTAGAGTTCAAGGACACTGATGTTACATGAAAGAAGTCTCCCCCTTGTCAGTGAGAGGGGTTTTTTTTTTGGTTGATTAGCTATAAATTCCCAAGTCTAAAGTAGGTTTAAAAGTATTTCTTGTAGCACTTGGTCCTTTGGCATTATTTTGAGAGGAAGCAGCAGTGGATGTACATCTTTTAAGGGCACTTTAAATAGACTTGTAAAAAAATGTTTGTGTTTGTTTTGTTGTATTAATCTACCCCCATGGTCATGCATTCTGTCTATTAAAAAACATTTATGACAGTTTTCCAGACTCTGCAGCTCCCAGCCTGGAGCTAGGGACCTCTCTGTGCCCTGCAATGTGGCTGGAAAAATGAGTCCCTGTCACAGGGGTCTCAGCTTCCACATTCTCACCAAAGCTGGCAGATGAATCCGTGTGTCAGTGGGAGGACGCAGTACCTGGTTATCATTTCAAAACCTTAGTTCCTAGTCTAATCAGCAAGATTTTAAGGACATCATATTTTGTGATGGGCCTTAAATATTGGACACTTGTCTTTTGTGGGGGGAGTTTTCTCCTGAGCTGTTCCTGCACCCATGGGACACCAAAAGAGCCCTAAAGGGTTAAATTCTGAAAAATGTCCGAAGAAACTTAAGGCATTTGTGTTTGATTTCTGTGGAAGAAGTAAGAGGCACTGGAGGAGTAGGGAAGGAGTGGGTAGTTTTGACCAGGAAACTATTTTGGATAGTGGTGTGTAGAATAGATTTCAGAGGAGCAAGGTTGTGTATCAAGCCAAATGATGGGGTAGAGCACCAGTCAAGACATGAGAGCCTCATTAATGCGGACAGAAACACACAAAAGACCAATATTCAGTTACACAAAATGGTTTAGACTTGATTCTGTTCCAAAATGAAGCAAAACAGCATCCAACTTGAAGTGCTTCTATGCATATATCCATATATAATTTTCTTTTTCCAGTAATTCTGTTGGGTTTTTAAAAAAACCAACAGATACAGCTTTACTAAAAAATGTTCTGTTGAAGCAAATCCTTGAATTTGACAGGATTCAAAAGGGTAATTGAGAGAAGAAAAGGAAGAGAATTGTTTTGGTCTTTTGAAGTAGTGTCTTGGGTTTTTTTTAATTAAATTTTTACTGTTAAACCTGTTGCAAAACCAGTGTTCTACACTGAAAATATCCGGGTCCTACTTGAATAATGAAAGGAAAATTAAGAAAGATGTTTTCAGGAAAACAAACCCAGTAACAACCAGTTCACTTTTGTCAAAACATTTCAGTTCTAGATGGCTTTGTGTTCTGGCAGAGCATGGTTTCAGGCTTCTTTCCTTAGCCAGGTTTATGTCTTGGACCTTAACTGTATTACAGTATGCTAAAATTCAAATTTGCTACCAAAAATGGGGTTTTTAAGTGCAGATGCCCACTGCGTATTTCTGATGAGAATTTAGCCATAGATCAGAGAATCAGAGAATCAGCCAGGTTGGAAAAGACGATCATCAAGATGCAAGAAAGCATGTGTTTTTGCCCTTGTCTCCCCACCTACACAGATTTTATTTCATGCTTCCTCTGCTTCTATAGCAAAGTTCATCTGCCACATTCTGCCACATCTGCCACCCTCTGTTGGATGAGGACATTCAGACAAAAGCAGTTTTGTTCTGGCTCTTCAGGCCCATTTCTACACACTTCTTCCTTCCGATTCCCCTTCCGATGCTATTTCCTGCGCTCCTGCATTCACAAGCTTGGGTGCAGGCAGACCCAAGCTCAGAAGTGAGCAAGCCTCAGGCTGCACATTGTGCTGCTGTGTTGGATTGATTCTTGAACTGCCTTTATTTTGGGGAGCAGTAGTTCATGGTGAGGGGAAAGCAAGTTCAGGGCTGCCTGTCCCTGTTTCTGTAGGTGTTGCTATCATCTCAAAGGGTTTCACTGCACTCAGGAAATTGCTGACGTTGCTATGATAACATCATTGCTTGTGCAGCAATGGTGGCATTTACGTTATCTGAGCAGATACTGAGTTTCTGCAGGAAGAATGCTTTGTCCCCTACTCAGATGCCAAAAAAAATTAGCTTATGTTGCTTTTAAAGTTTTAAAGTAAATATTTCACTATATCAAGCTTGGCAAATAGTTAATCCATGATTTAACAGCTGGCAAAACTACCCAGCTGTTGGTAAGCCTGATAAATCACATGGGCTGGGCAAGCTGTTCAGCAGCTGAACATATTTCAAAGACAGAGAACTTAAAAAAAAAAAACACAAAAAAACCAAACCAACAAAAAACCTCCCAAAACCTAGTCCTTTTAACCTTCAGTGAAAAAGTCACATAAGCCTTGATAAATTGTTCCCAGCAGTAGATCATCCTCTCACAAAATCATGCCCTTTTCATTATATCAGCGTTTTTGTCCTCAGCATTGTGCTCATGCTTATTATCTGCTGGGGTCCCAAAGAGTTTGGTTTTATTCTTCTGTTCCTTCAGGTTCATGGGTCTTCAAAAAGGGTGCTCAATACCACAAGACTGTTCCTGTGGTCATCACTTGCTACTGCATAGTGTTGTGCATACTACATGACAGCTGAGGTCTTTGTTGCTTGTGTAGGCACAAACTGAGCTATTGTTCTTGTGAATCCATCCATTTTCTCTCAGCCAGATCTGTAAAGAAATTACTACTAAATGGAGAAAAGAACATATAGGGTCAAAAACCCATCTGTAGAAATCTACATAATTAAAGAAGATGCCCATTTATGGTTACACAAAGATCTGGTTGTAATTTAGTCAATTAATGAGGTGCCAAGGTGTTTTTTGTTTTGTTCTGTAAGTCTCAAGCAAAATGCTTCTTGGTTCCAAGTACAGATATTGCAGAAATCTGTCTCCTTGGTCATCTATATCAGACAAATCCCCAATTTTCTCAGAAATACTGTTAGTTTGATAATTATATGTCTTTGTAGTCTCTGCTGACTGATGTTATAATAAGCAAAGAACTGGAAAGCATTAATTTATAGGCCAGTTGCTTTCCTTGGCATTGCTGCGGCCTCTTGGCCTGCCCTGGCTTTGCTGTGGCATTGATAGGTCTCTTAATTATTCCAGTCAATCCATTTGCTTGTTTTGAATGCTGGCATGTTTGCCCAGTCTGATGGTTTATAGCCTTTCAAGACCTGGGAAAAGCCTGCTGCTCCAGGCAATTTCTCAGCACCTCTCTAAAAACTCTTGGATGCAAGTTAGCCACAGCTCCTCATTTACTGTCCAGCTTCTCACGCGGTGGCAGCTCACCTATGAGTTACTCCTGAAAGAGCATCTTAGGGTGGTCCAGGATTCAACCATTCCTGTAACACCGCACAGCTGTGTTGAGACCTGCTTTTCATCTCGTTGGCTGGTTCTAGCCCATATAGAATCAGCTCATAACTGTAGTTATGTTTGGTCCCCTTAGCATAGCAACCTAACTTTGCTGTGAGCTGCTAAAATACTTGCTGGTTTTGGGAAGCTGCAAGAGGGCTGTTGAGCTCCTGACTGGTTTGGGTTGCTGGCATGTCAGGAGAAGTTGCATACCCTGCTGACAGAAGCAGGCTTACAGAGCCTAGTGGCTGAAAGCCTGCAATTTACATGTTTACCCCTTGTTTCCTTCATCTCAGCTTTCTTTCTGCCCAGCTGGGAAAACTGCCTGATCACTTGCTCTTGAGTCCTGTTTGTTCTTTCCTGTCCTGGTTTTGTGTACCGACCTGCCTGCTGAGGGAAGCAGTGTCTGCTATCTTTGCTGTCTTCTTAGAAATGTTCAAGGATGGTGTTGCCCGCAGTCTTTGCATATTTTTCCTGAGCAAAATGTGGCCTGGCTGAATGCTTTCTGAAGTTTGATTCCCATCTCCCTTGCCCAAGTTACTTATTTCTACATGTTGTGTCCTGGCAGACATGTCTTCTCTCTCCTCCAGTGACCTGTGCAGGTAGCAGCAGTCAGCTCCAGGGGGTTTGGTGTGTTGTTCGACTGGTCTCACCAGCCTCAGCTGAGACCTGTGAGCATACAGAGGCTTTTTCTTAGAAACTGACAGTGGTTTTCTAATTAAATGCCTGCATTTCTACACAGCTCAGTGGCTCCCTGGCTGCAAGGGGGGTGTCTGCATGAAGGCACCGCACAGGAGTGGGTCTTGGCCACACAGACCTGATTTTTTGAGCACCCAGTGTCATGTCTGCCTGTGAGACTGAAGCCAAAAGGTGCAGCTGTTTGCTTTCCCCTTGTGGCAAAAGTAGGGCCTCAAAGGCAAATATTTAATGAGTCAACAGAAAGGTGGAATTTTCCTGCCTCTCTGTTAATTTAAAACAAAATCAGGGCAGCTGGCACAACGCCCTTTCAGAGGCTGTGATGGAGTGGAGGGGGTTGCTGCCCCTGTGCCGCTCGGGTGTACTTTGGTCTACATATCCATGGAGGGCAGCATGAGCCAAAACCTCCTGCCTTGTAGACCCGTGCATGTCCCTCCTTGATTACTGAAGCAATCAAAGTCTTCTGTTAAGCATGGGAAGGTGGGAGAGGGTCCCTAGGGTGAGGGGATGGGCAGTAAAGGAAAGAAAGATGGACCTGTACCCCTAAGGCATGTGGAGGGAGTTGAGACTGGAGGCTCTAGACAACTCCGGTCCTTTGTGTTTTACATTTATATCTCTTGAACCTTAAATCCAGGCAGGGGGTCATTAAGAAAGAAGCCAATGAAAAGGTGGTGGTGGGCAGATGTAGACATGCTTGGTTACAAGGAGCCCTGTGTCCTATCTAACAGCTTGTAACATGTGTGCTTTTCAGATTCCCTTCTACAAGCAGATGTGCAAGAGTATTCAGGCGGGTGAGATGTGTGAGAAGTTGGTGGGATACTCTGCAGTGTACAAAGTCTGTTTTGGAATGGCCTGTTTCTTCTTTTTGTTCTTCTTATTCACCATCAAAATTAACAGCAGCAAAAGCTGCCGTGCATACATTCATAATGGGTGAGTATTTATTTGACTGCTTAATTTCCAATTCTCTTTACGAGTTTGTGTTGCTTGCTTTCCAGCTGGATGTAGCACTAAGCAGAAAAACCCCAACCCAAACTGAAAGCTGATTTTACTGCTTTTGTCAGAAATAATGCAGTCAAGTGAGAACTAACTAAAGCATCAGTCAGTCATCAAAGGGGGGTTTCTTTTGTTCAATCTCAGACTTTAAATTTCTCTCATGATACTTGACTTGAAGACCTCTAATGCCTGTTGTAACCAAATGACTTTTTTTCCCCTCCTCTCCTCTTGTCTAGATTCTGGCTGATTAAACTTATACTTCTGGCAGCAATGTGCTCAGGAGCATTCTTCATTCCTGATCAGGACACTTTCCTCAATGGTATGTCCTTGTTCTGTAGCGCTGCTTCATTCATGTGACCATGGTTCTTCAAGCAAAGTTTGAGGGAAACTGTGTACAGAGTAGATGGTCTTCTCATGAAAGTAGATGGTCTTTTCATGTTTTTCATGTTGCTCTACAGTAGCGCAGCAGCCAGATTCATGCTGTCTTTATGGAGAGGTGCCATTTCTCGAAGGAGCACAGTGCCTTTCTGGGTGCTGGTGTTTGCTGCTGGAAACCTGCAGTGCTGCGAAAGAATTTGGGTTGTTAGTTGTCAGACTGGTGGTATAAATGCATGAAGGTAAAATTAGACTTTTTGGGATGCTCTGCTGAGGATGCTGTGCCTTGAAACATTTCTAGTTTTGGAAGGCACCCTGGCACCAGACAGGCATGGTTCGGTACTGGCTCAGTTAGATGCCCCAGAAGTGAAGATCTCCTTATCCCTGTTCCTCTCGCCCATGAAGTCACAGGATGGCTATATGTACTTGTCCTTAGTATCTAATTACTGTTTGGATTAGAAAGATGCACTGTGCAATGCACTGTACTCATAAGCAAGCAAGACTGCTTATCATCTTTGCAAGTGACCCTTTTCATTTTGAAAAGTCTTCAAGAACTGAAGCATCTGGGGAAAAGGGAAAGCAGAACTTTTTACGTTGGTTAGGAATGCTGTTTCTCAAAGGGAAACCAGCCTAACCCAGAGTGGAGATACAGCATAATAAGCTTTCTTCCCGAAATTGCCTCCTGATTTCTCTCTCTGAAGCTGTAGGCTGTACATCCTGATAAACAGTCAGACCCTGAATTAAAGTTTTACAGATGTCATCTGAAATCAGCTGCATACCTGGAGTTATGTACAGGCTATGCACTGCATAGCATGCTGCACAAGCTGTTTAAGCAACTAAACATTTAAATAAGTACCTGTATTTCCTCAGACACATCTGATGTTGTACATAAGATATCTATTGTCTGAAGTATCCAAACAGCTACCTAAATACAGTATATGTAGGTCAGTGGTTAAGTAGTCAAACAACCTCTCTTAAAAGTGAATACCAAGTGTTCCAGTCTTCTTTGGAGTGGCTCGGGACAGCGTTTGTAAATAGTTAAGCTCCGCCTTTGTTTTTCTGTGGTACTGGAATCTGGATGGAAAGAAATTGCCCTTTATAGTACTGTGTTCCAGTACCTTGCAATTTCAGGGTGTAGATTCCTGTGAAATGCCTTCACGCCACCAGTCACAAATAAAGGTTTCAGTATTTTCTGTCTGAATATAGTAACTCATAGTCTCCGCAAAAATTCCCTAGGTTATGGAAACTCAGTAAGTGTCCTAACAGGCTTATTTTGAAAGTGAAGCACATTGCAGGCTGAATTCATGAGGGAGCTAATCTTCAGTTAGCTGAGTTGGCTTTTCAGCTGAAATCTGCTGCTACATCTGTGGGCTTGAGATATTTAAACAGCATTCACAGCTTCACTGCATAGACAGTGATTCCATTTTATCTCAAGGGAAAGGCAACTGCAGTTTGACCTATTTTCTGCCTCTGCTTTGCAGCCTGGCGCTACGTGGGAGCAACAGGAGGTTTCCTTTTCATTGCCATTCAGCTCATCCTGCTCGTTGAGTTTACACACAAATGGAATAAAAATTGGTATGTGTTGGGCAAGTAGTTATTTGCATAAAATTCTACAACATTACATTGCTGGTAACAAGGAATTTAAAAATAGCATGGATGTAATTTTTGAAAGAAGACCCTTTCATTTCAATGTTTGGAGCTGGTCACCTTTGCTTCATCCACTTTTTCCTTCCCCACATCTTTCGTCTTTATTCACTTCCACTCTGCTGATCTATTCTTAAATGGAATTGCTTAGCTTCCAATAATCAGTAGCATGTTAGCGTGCAAAAACCTTGAAGTTGTTTTATATTTTATATGAAAACATATCTGCTAAGAAACAGTGGTGCAAGAGGATAAAACTGGGTTTGCAAAATGTAACAGTGAAACTGTATACAGTGATATAAACTGGTAAATCCTGCTTTTTTTGTTTCATTTTAATGCACATCCATTTTATTATTGTTTCTTGACATGAGAACTGCTACTTTCTCTTCAACTTTTTTCATCTGTATATGAAAGATTCCATTATCAACCCTCATATACCCCATTTTGATATTAACTTCATTTCTGGTTCAGGCATATTTGCTATTACCTTCCTAGCTCTTAGCCTGTCATAAATTTAAAATATTTAAATTGTCCTCCCACATACATTCAAGAGCTCCAGCCTCCACCTCCATCCTTTCTGTTTCTCGTTTCTTCCTCTACAAACCTTTGCAGGCCTCTCTTGTCCCAGTTATTGTACTGACTGCTAAGAAAGAATTTTAGCAAACCTTTGGCTTGTTATATACCTCTTTTCAAGGAGGAAGAGGTGAGAACTCCTTATATCAAACAATTTTGTTATGGCTAATTCCTGTAGCTGCTTTTCTTTTCCGGCGGCAGCATTTAACTTTAGCACTCCCTCCATTAGATGCTGTTTTAAAAATAAGTCATGTTTGCACAAAACAAAATAACAATAAGCAAAAAAAAACAAAACAAAACAAAACAAAAAAAAAAAAAAAAAAAAAACCAAGCACCTTCTGTGCACCAAAAATCCCTTTGTGCCAAAACAGCTTTTTTAGTTGCTGCTCCTAAAAAACTGATGATATTTGCGAGAGGAGTCTGGAAGGTGAAGAGAAGAATACAAGGTGAACTGCGCTTTAGTTGAGGGAGATTGGTGAGACAGACTCAAATGGAGATGAGGCTTTTTGAATGAAGGGGTGGTAAAACTGTCAAGGTGGTGCAAGGAGCAGAGGAGAGGCCATGCCAAACAACATGCCTTTGCTGTCCTTGTGTGAAGAGCACTGCTTGCTAGCTAAACCTGTGACAGTCTGAGTTCCTACTGAGGAAATCCCTGAGTATTTGGCTGAGATGTGCTGATGGGTTGATCCCAGAGATTGGAAGGTCTAGGAGTCATGCTGGGCTATAATTACAGAAACAGCTGGCGATGATAATACAGAAGATAAACACTAATGCTAAGGAATGTTTACATCTGTTTCATGGGAGGAACCTTGAAGGGCCTTGTTGATGTAGTGACCTACACATTTCAGGAAAGTAAGAACTGTCTTTTGTGTTAGAGGATATGAGCAATTCGGTTATTTAGAATTTAATTCTTTTAGGGAAGGGAAGACAAAGATAAGGTACTGTCTCTCTCTCTCCGCAGGACTGCAGGTGCAAAGCACAAGCAGATGTGGAATGGTTTGCTTGCTCTGGTCACTCTCACGCTGTACTCCATTGCTGTGGCAGCCCTGGTCCTCATGGCTCTTTTCTACACACACTCAGAGGGCTGCATGTACAACAAAGTCCTGATTGGTGTTCACGGTGGCCTGTGCCTCTTTGTGTCACTGGTGGCCATATCACCCTGTGTCCAGAATCGTGAGTCCGCTGATCTGTTTTTCCTCTTGGATCTCTGGTGCTGCCACAGGTGTGTGCCTGGGGACATGAGCTGTGTCCAGGCAGAAAGTCTCAAGATAGTTCAAAGCTGATGCTGGTCTTGCCCCTGTCCTTTATTTACACCATGAAGTGCTGTTGCTGGTCATCAGCTCAACTGCTAAAACTAGGAAAGTGGGAGACATTTTGGGTGTGCCATCAGGCAGGCATAGTGTGAAAAAAGTTCTATGCTGGTAATGTGCTGTGGAGCTTACACAACTCTTGCAGTGATAGCAGTTGAGTAATAGCTTACAAACTCATCCACCATTTACTTTTGACTGCTTGGGGTTTACCATCTGTAAATTTTGGGCCTGGAGGAGTTGACAAGAGTATTTTATGTTTCAGTATATGAAGCATATATGTGCGCTGTTATTATCTTGCATATATTGGACTTTGAAATAGTAATTTGAGTTACTTCAACACAAAATTTACAGGCAAATAAAACTGTCATGTCAATATGTCAATAGCTTTTAGAAAGCTGGTGCTTTTGGTGAGAATAGAAGGGAGATTCACTACTTTCAGGGAATCTAATGCCTTTCTAAAACAGCCATCAGAACGAAAGGATACTCTTTTTTCTTTACATGCCACTGGAAGTGTATCTAAACTGACTTAAAAACGTATGAACGGCTCTAAACCATGAAAGATACGTTTCTTTTCATAAAACGTGAAAGATACACTTCTGAAGGGTACTGGTGTGCTGCTCTTTAAAGGATATGAATTTCTTTTTCAGTTTGTTAAATTGTCTGCAAAAATAACTTGTTTTCCTCTTTGTTGTAAAGGCCAGCCCCATTCTGGTTTGCTGCAGTCAGGAGTTATAAGCTGCTATGTCATGTACCTCACTTTCTCTGCACTGTCCAGCAAGCCACCAGAAACTAGTAAGTTATGTAATGCTCTACGTAAATTCTTTTAGACATGTATTAAAAGCTATAATTCAACAAACATGAATTAAAAAATTAGGGATATTGGAGTGCTGGCTTTGGTTTCTTCTGGCCTATGCAGAAGAAACTGCAAACACTAGAAATAATTCTGGCAGCAGAGAAACCATGCGATTGGCACTCTCCATGTACCTGTTTCCTACCGTCAGATTTCCCAGAGTCTTGTAGCCTATTCCTTGTATGGCAAGTGCATATTCTCGTACAATATATAATGTGTTTGGTCACATCATGGGGAATGAGTTGGAACAAATGGCTCTTAGATGCCGCTGGAAGAAGCTGTGTGATCAGTTCCATCAAAAATTTTACTAGGTTCCCAGTGCTTAGTAAGTGCTGGCCATCACAGTTGATACTAAAATCACTTCTAGAATTGTTACCCTAGATAGCTTTAGCTGTGGACTCCTTATGGAGCAAAAACTTGAGTACCACTCATCTTCCATTTTGAAAGAAGACGTTCTGAGAAAGGACTTCTTGGAGTTAGGTTGCAGTTATTTGAGATGATGTTCTTCAGCACAGTTTCTATATTCTACTTGACTTGCCTTCTAACCGTTGGCACTGCAAACCAGGAGAAGGAAACTCCCTGGAGTTTTAAGTTCTTTATGCTACAAAAAAACAACAGGACATTACAAACACAAGTCAAAGTTTCATTTTCCCAGTTAACATTAACATTCACCCATTTAGACAGGGAGCATTCTTTTCACTTGAAGAAGACTTTTCTGGTTCAAATTAGTAATGCTAATTTGAACCCTTCTTTAATTATTGCTCAACTGGAATAGTTGAAATAGTAACTAGAAGAAAACAAGTCTTTTGGCAGGAAGAAGTTTTTATAGACACCTCTTAAAAAGAAAGGGGAGAGATGGGGGAAAGAATCTCTCTCAAACTTGTATAGGCACAGGCACACACAAGAATGTCTTCTAGAGCTAAGATGGACAGACAGTATTTAGGTGGAAGATTTATTTAATGAGCTTAAGCAGTGTTTTTGAATGAACATAGAAGTTAATTTAGAAGGCATCTGAATTACTCACAAGACTTGACACAATGTTGAAAAAAAAAAGAGAAGAAAGAAAGCGATGTGTGGTATTAAATCATAGGCCCTGTGTTCTTTTGTGCTTGTGACAGACAAAGCTTTCAGCGGTTAAATGAATGCTGTGATTCTTTTTGTATGTACTGCGAGTGTGGTTACTGCATTGGTCAGAGTACGCATCAAGCACACTCTCTCAGACCTCCTGAATCAGTTGCTCCTCCTTATCTTCTCTGGTCAGAGAACTCTCATGGTTGTCATCCTCTATGAGATGTTCCTTTCTTCCCTGTCTGTGTGATAAGGACTCTCATATTGGCCTTCCCAGCTTTTACAGTGGCATGTGCTGGACAGTGTGTGGGGTGCTGGCACTTACTAGGGTGTCGATGGCCTGTTACTCAGATTTGCCATGAATTTATCTAATGTTGATTCATTCCTCAAGGAGGGACTTTCAAATTGGTCTTCTTGCCATTCAGCCACTTTGTAAACCAGGCCTGAAGTAAATGAAAGCCACAAGCGTTTATTTACAGCACCCAAAAAGCAGAGTTGCAAATGTCTTAAGAAGGAATGGGCAAACAAAAGGTAATGTGTACTGAACCTGTGCTTATCACAAGGTGCCTTAGCTTTGTGGTGCCAGAGTTAGCTAAAAGTTCTCCTAAACAGTGGATCTGCCTTGCTGCAGAGGTGTCCCTGATGGACAGGTAGCAGATTCTACACATCTCTGGCCACGATGTTCCATCTTGCCTTCCAAGGCTTGTTGTCCCTTCTTTTGCTCCCACCTCCATGCTCTCCCTGCTGTCTGCTGATAAAGCTGTTTGTGCAGCTCTGTGGGGCCATGCAAAGTCCTACCTCAGCAGGTCAGGATACTGGCTTTGAGTTTATTTTTAACTGAGGTGCAGCCTTTACTTCATTTTGCCCTCTGCTCTTACAACCAGTTGTGCAGTATGGCTGCTGGAGAAAAGAGGAGATAGGAATACAGGTTGCCTGAAACAGCATTGGCTCCAAAAGCTCTTGATTTGAAATAAGGTGTAGATGTCATCTCCTGCTTTGTGGTGATGCTCGACTTGCCTCTGCCTTGCCTTGACTCCAGGCACCAAAAAGCCAGATGCACCTTAGAACAAGGAGTTAATTGCATTTCAGGGACCTAGGAATAGTATTTGTTTAGATGTTCAGATAAAATCTTGCCTGTAAGTGGTGCATCTCCTTTTCTTTGGGCCTCTGTATATGCATCTGGGAACAGGGAAACTACACACCATCTCTTTCACTGAGTATCAATTTCACAGTTGTCCTCAAGGCACCTCTGCTGCCAAAGAAATTTATGGTCCTGAGACTCTACTACCTTGGTCTTATACGTTGTCCTGGATGAAATGGTGGTAAATTTCCATCTTCCTGTTCCACAGTTCACCAGTCTTTTTCCTTGTTTGTCTGCTCTCATCAAACAAGAAATTTAAGTACACTACTTAGCTGCATTTTTATTTTGCCTGAAACACAGAATATGCTGCGCCAGATTTATGTAATTTTTTCTGGATTAACTTTTTAGAAGATAGAAACAACTGAAATATACCAGTGTCTGAATTAATAAAGATACATTGCTGAATACCTTCAGTCTGATGACTACTTTGAAATGCAGTGAAATGAGCTTTGCTAACTGTACTTTTTTGTTTGTTTTCTTTTGTGAAGTCCTGGATGAAAACAATCGGAACATCACAATCTGTGTACCTGAATTTAGTCAAGACCTACACAGAGATGAAAACTTGGTTACTGGCCTGGGTACTACCATTTTGTTTGGCTGCATTTTATATTCTTGGTAAGTCTGGGGGTTTGCAATTACCTCAATGTAAATGCAATGTCATAGTCTAACTAGAGAAGGCGTATAGCATGCCTCATGCAGACAAAATAGCAGGGAGAACTCAGCTGGAAGATTCATATTCTCCCCAGTTTCAGAATGGTTAGATGTTTTAGCCAAAAATGTTCAACAAGATAGTACAACTTTTGAAACAAATACACTTCATTAAAACCAAATAGAGCGTTTTACATCTAGAGGTGGAGGGGAAAAAGTTTCCAGGTGTCCAGGATCTCAAACAGTCTCAGGGTGGTTTGATTCTGAATTTACTGTTTCTGCAAGAAAAACTCTATGCAGTTATGACCATCTGAAAAGGTACCTGAAATTTATGTAGCCTTCTGGCAGAGGCTAAGACTGTTCCTTGAGGGTTTTTCAAACTAACAAAACTGGGAGGGTTTGGGGCTTCCTTTGAGCAAGTGATGAGTACAGTATTGCCATCAGGATTTGCCAGTGATCTCCTTATCCAGAAAAAATCTGTTTGTGCTGATACACCTGTGATGCTCACCTTGTATCATTGCAGCTCACATCAATAAATTCAGTCATGCTTCAGGATGGGGAGGTGAGGAGTTGCTTTTGTTTGAAAGGTGATGTGTTGTCACCTGTATTGCCTGTTTGGCTGTGCAGGTTAGCAGGAAACAGCACTGCCTGTCTGCTGCAGATTTTTGAGCAGGTTCTGCTTCTGAATCAGTCCACTTCAGAATTCACATACTGAAACTCCTTTGTAATTTTGAAGTGAAAACCAGAATTTCTGAAGAGGTAGCACAGCTATTCTTATGCTGTCAAATATGCATGTGTTCCATTTAATTCTGATACGAAAAATATGGATATCATGTGTTTAGTTTGCATTAGAATAGTATTTTCAGTGCCTCAGGAAGGTATTTCAGGAATGCAGACAACTTTCACATAGCCTGCAGGGGAAGTGCACCATGTAGCCAGGTAGGTAAGAAGGCCTTCAAGGGGAAGGTTTTGAAGTATTGCTTACTAAGGCGTAGTGTGTGCAGCAAAGCATTAACACGTCTCCCTGTGGGTAAAGGAAGTTTTGCATTACACATTCTGAAAGGGGAAGACTAGGCAAGAAATGTTTATTCTCAGAAGGAACTAGAAAGCATTGGACTCAACGATCTTAAAGCTCTTTTCCAACCTGATTGATGATATGATTCCCCCCAGACAAGTACATTCATGCAAGAAAGTGATTTCTGACCACTGGTACACTGTTGGTAGTTTACTTTTGAAATCTAACTGCTGCCAGTGATCTGTTCCTTAGCCAGAAAGCCTTTACAGTAATGCTGAGCCAAAGTGACAGCTGTAAAGTTAACATAAAAGCATTGGTTGTGCACAGCAGGGGAGATTTCTTCTGAACTGGAGCATTTAGCTGTTTGCTGCTGTATGATTGTGATGAATTCACCACCTTTCAGGAGTGACCTACTTTTAAACTCATGATTCAGCCTGAGTTGGCCAGTGACTGGCTGTCACGCAGAACAAACTTTTCACATGCTTAGTGCTCAATGCTATATCCAGGCAAGTGCTTAGCTTAGGCATGGAAGTAACTATTTATGTTTTCTGTGGTGTTGCAAAATCATGCTTATGCTTATCCTTGTGCCGAGGGTTTTGACATTATCTTCTTTTGCTCCTAGTTTGACCTCAACAACACGTGCAAGCTCAGAAGCACTGAGGGGCATATATGGAACACCCGAAAGTGAAGTGAGTTCTTGCTTCCTCCCACAGGATTTCTGTGCAGGCTTCCTCATGTGCTTTTCTTGCTGTTTTTTTCATGGCTAAGTAACCTGTAATTAGGTGAAAACAAAAGCTTGTTCATAGCATGCAGGTTCTGGTTGCTAGACCAAACCAAACCAGGGTATATCTGGAGTTCATACCAGAATACTTGCCTACATTGGCTGTTCTGCAGGTCTTGCTCGTCCCATGGAGATGCCTTTATGTACTCAAATAATCTGCTGCTTTTGTAGTTTATTTAACAACCTGCACACTTCCTGTAAATCTTTCTGTGCCCCACACAAGCTCATGTCCTCTCATTTAAAGGAAAAATCTGCTAGGAAGCTATCAGAAGAAGTGGTGGTGTTCCTGATTGTTTTCAGTAATTACTGCCTTTGTTCTCATAGCAACTGAGTCATCCCAAGATCCTATCTCTTATTTTTATTTCCACACATAAGTACTTCCTGTCTTTCTGCCTATGATTTCATCTTGGATTACGTTTCTTGTCCCTGTTTCAGCAGGACCGGTTTCTTCATTCTACCTGCCTTTTTCTTTGGCCACCTTATCCTGGAAACACCCAGGATACACTGGGAAACGAGTAGTGTTTTGCTGTGTAACAGTTGCCCCTTGATTAGGCTTGCTAGTGGCACTCTCCAAAAGTGTGTGTGTGTGTTTGGAGGATGAATCCGTAGCTTTCTTGCTGTTGATGTTACTGACATCTGCAGTTTTAACTTCTGCTTTTAACCTTCCTGTGGCAGGAGCTGCAATGGGGCTGGGGTGGATGACACAGTGGGCTCTGGGTGTGTCCCTTCCCCAGAAGGTGCAGCTCACCACCCCAGTGCTTGCCGACAGCATTATTTCCAGATCGTTTGATTTTAAAGAGGGGCACAAGAGCCGCCAAACATGAACATAAAGAAATGACTGGTAAAGAGCCACTAATTGCACTCTGATTGCCTTCCCTGTTGCAAAGGGCTTTTGTCTTCTGGACAGGAGCCTGAATGTGGCTTTGCAGTTGCTTGTGGTGTAGAAAGGTCTGTCTGCCTGTGTGCTCAAGACAAATAAGCATTAGAAGGGGCTAGCAGTATGTGTGTTGGCATTACTAATTTCCTCACTCTGTGTATGCAGGGACTTAATTACAACTGATTAAGAGGTTGCAATTAAGTCACATTGCTTCAGCATATGAGTGCAACCTGAGTGGGGCTGTAGGTGAGACTTGGCACAGTAGGAGAAAGAGGTGCAGAGTAAAGGTTTTATTGAAACTCAGCCAGACTCAGAAAAGAATAAGCTTTTTGGCTCTTTATGAGTTTGTGAACCTCTGAGTACATTTGATCATGGATATGCAGGCTAAAAAGTGCCATTTGATGTTCCCATTGGAAAATTTACCTTAAAAGCTTACTATCTCATTATTGTGTTACTGTGAAACTCAGTCGAAGAACTCTCTAAGACTCAATTTGGAGTTTTAGAAAGCAGGCATCCTTTATTGCAGCATTGGACACACAGGGGATCGCTCCACCTAACGTGCGTGCATGGCAGTTTAACTATGAGTTTTTTGTTGGGATAAAACATACATATGCATTACTTTTCCAATAAACCATTGGCATATTCATAATTTTCTTATAACTCATTATTGTTATATATACAATCTCTATACACATGTGCACACAGTCTCTTAGCCGGTCATCCAGGGACCTCTGGTGGTCTTCGATAGTCTCCCCCACTGTGTTCACTAGATGAACTCGGTTCTTGCATATGCTCTGTTATCTGTTACTATGTTTCTCAAAACTTGCTGATTCCCACATTTTGGTCTACTTTTGTTGCTGTTTCAAGGATATAGTGTCCCATGGCTTCCTTTTATCTTGTCCAGGCACAGTAACTGTTTATCAGGGTGTTTGGACTTCTCCAAGGTAGGTATCAGTTGGGCATTTTACAAAATCTCGCAACTGGCCTGTGCCAATCAAGGAAAGAGGCTAGAACACAAAGTATAGAATTACTGTATTTTTAGTCTTCCACATGCACTAAATAAAGCAATATTTATTCAGGCACATGGGGTGTCCCAGACAAATTGGGGCACCCCAAATAGTTTTACACAGGGTCCTCCTACCATACCCTTCAAGCATTCAGGTGTAGCACTATTTGACTAATCAGCCACACCACTGGGTGTGGTGGGTTTTACTAGTCATAGTAAAACCTCACAAACCAACTTTGTTTCCACAGTGTTCTTGCCTCTTGTCTATTGATCAGACATCCCTGGAATCAGTCTTGCAATAGTTACTTATCCAGGATGCTTGGGAGAGTTTCAAAGATATGTTGGAGGGGCTAGGATGCTGGCATTATCTTGCTTGTCCAGGGGTATTTTATATGCTGCAAGCTGTAACCTTCCAAGAAGCAAAGTCCTTTCCAGGGCTGGGCAGTCCTGAGGTTTATTTTACTGAAGCATGAACACTACCAAAGCCTCCAGTAGAACTCCACTACATCATTACATTGCAGTATATGCTGTGAACTTATACAAGTAAATGAAGTTAATACACTTTCATATTATAAATCCCAATTGATATAATAGTTAGGGAAAGGAATTTTCCTAACAGAGTTCATTATCTTCATCAGACCACAATCAAAATAAACCCCAGAGTAGGATTTTATCGGGACAAATAATGTGGGTGATACAATATAGAAGGTGCTGACTTGCACTGTGATATGGTGCAGAAAATGCACTTACTTATATTTATTGGATGTTCAGCATCCTTTTCCCATTTACATTACCACTTAACACAAGAACTGTAAGTTTCAGCTTTCCTTTTCCTTTCTTCATTTATGTAAAGGAGTAAAGCCAGATTTCAGATTTTACTTATTCTGCTTGCACTCATTCTGGCTCCTTTTCAGCAAAATCTTGCAAAGATAAGTACATTTCTGACTTACACTTGTGTGGTTTTGATTTCCAACCCATGTGGCAAGGTTTTGGAAGTTCCTTACCCTTTCATTTCAGTAGAGAATATTTTTATTTAAAAAGCACTGAAGTGCAAGTCTGAAGAGGTAAGTACTCTCTGAACTAGTAATGTGCAACTGCTATAGTATAGCTGTTCCCCCATTTTGTCATAAGTATTTGCGCTTGTGTTTGACCATGAGTTATGCAAAATGGGTGGAGTAATCCTTAAAGAATAGTTAATTTGTTCAGAATCTTATGGAGTAGGTTTTTCCAAAGTTTAGAAACTGTTATGAACTACTTGGCAAATCCTAATTTGAGTTTTGTCCTGGCTCGAAATACAAACTAGACTTATCTACATTAGGGCCTGTAACCTAGACATAACAGACCTTCCTTTACCAACTGTTCTGCCTCTTTGCTGTAGCACAACTCTTACCCTTCCTGTTGTCTGTTCCACAGGTAGCTCGTTGCTGCTTTTGCTGCATGCCTGACGGAGACGGTAATTACATTTTTCACCACAAAGTTTACCTCACTCACAGTTTTCAGACCAAAGCCAAGAGAGTAAGGACACAGCTGCAGATGGAGACCTGCTTGTGCTATTGCATATACAACTGAAGCAGCTGAAGTGCTCAAAGTTAGGCTAGGGAAGGAAGCAGGAGATGTAACAATACCATTTAAAACAGCAGGCTAGTTAATAATTTCTTAAAGGATGTTTCATTACTGCAGCATACAAAGAGTAATCTCTGCTCTTTGCATGCTTCTGGGTGTGATTGCCTGCTAGATTTTTGGCTCAGCAGCTCTGCATAGACTGCAGTTCAGGAATGAACGGGGACGTGTGTGCCCTGTTTACAGACTTAATACAATCAGGGTTATCAGCTTGAACTTGCCAGAAGAGTATTGTGTGTGCAGGTAGAGCACTTTAAAGGCCCAAATGCTAAAAAACTAGCTTGTGGGCCAGAAAACTGATAGGAGGTGGTTTTCAGTGGCAGTCCAGTTTCTTTTACTAAAGGCTTAGATTCATGCCCTGAAAGCAAAGACAGTGTTGCTCTGTATTCATTCTTTCCTAAAACACAACATGGATATTTTGCTGTGTTCTTGGTGAAGGCAGCTGTTGCTTTAATTCCTCATCAAATTTGCAAAATCTTTCTTTTTCCTGTCTCTTAACAGCTGATGCTGAAGAGCACGTTGAAAAAAGGGGAGGCCAGTCTGTGATTTATGATGAGAAGAAAGGCACGGTGTACAGTTATGCCTACTTTCACTTTGTTTTCTTCTTGGCTTCACTCTACGTGATGATGACAGTAACTCACTGGTTCCAGTAAGTATATTTCTGTAAAGATGAGAAATAATTAATTAATTAGCGGTCCTCTGCACCGAGAGGGGAGATGTGAACAGAACTTCTGCCTTTAGTGTGTCTCCTGTTCTCAATTAAGAAGCTGGAAGAGACATTCTGAGTCTTTCCTGGGTGACTCCTGTGCAAGGTATTGCTCTACAAAGGGCTCCTCTCCCCTGTTTTGTGTCTGGGTTAACCTAGTTGAAGTCTGTGAGCCATTTGAAAAAAACAGGGGATACGCAGTCTGAGATATGAATAGTGAGTTTATTGCTTTTGTTTGTTTTTCCTTTCACAGTTATGAAAGTGCTCAGATTGAAAAGTTCTTCACCGGAACCTGGTCCATCTTCTGGATTAAGATGGCCTCATGTTGGGTTTGCGTCTGCCTATACTTGTGGACTCTCATTGCTCCACTCTGTTGCCCAACCAGAGAGTTCTCAGTGTGAATGCTCAGAAAGTCTTTCTGTGTTTATGTATTTTTCTTTTTCTCCCCTCCTCCCCCCACCCCGTTACAAATAAAATACAAGTAATTTTGTAATGAGGAAACACCTATTTCCCCATTTATCATAAGGTACCAGTTAGTGAGTTTTTAGTCTGACTAAAGACATGATTGAAGACTTTTTTTTACCTTTGTTAATTTTCATGAACAAGCATTACCTAAGAGATTACAAATCTCTTCTAAATCTTTGTAATGCTTATGTGTGGGGTGTAGGAAACACAGTTGTTGCATAAACTGAAGTAAGAAAATGCTTTTCAAATAACTGACAATCTTTCTCTGGCTTCATTGGCAAGAAAAAAAAAAAATGGTGCAGATATATCTTCTTCCTTCCTGTGAATGTTGGCTATATCTTCTAGCAAATATACATTCCTTTCCATACTCTTCTATTAACTGTGTCCTTTACAGTTTGCAGTGATGATTTGGACTGCTGTTCTATACAGCATATAATTCTTGTAAGTATTATCCAGATAATTTTTTCCAGAAACATAACTAAATACTTCTTTAGAAATAGAGAATATGTAAGAATTTGATTGCCAAAGCATCTACTAAAAATTCTTTAGATAAATATTAAATATATTAAGTTATTGTCTACCTAGATTGAGAAAGGAATGTATCAATGATAATAGAGTATTTATTCTGTTATAAGTTTTAAAGGCACCTGAATATTTTATGCAATTCAGATCTGGTCCAGTGGTTAACAGAAGGGGATTTCTATACAAAAATTCTTAAACTGAATTTTGTCCAACTTTGCTTTGCCAGCTCTCCTAAATTGCATGTTGAATGTAGTACACCAGGATTTAAGACATGGTACATTCTCTATTCAGGATGTTTGCTGTTGGCAAAACGCTAATTACATGAGCACTGCCAGTTGCTGTCAAATTTGAAAGTGGAGTGCTCACTTACTTCCCTACCTTGCTGTTTCAGCTTGTGTCTAAAGATCTCCCAGGATCTTCACTTCTGTATCTGTTACTAATTTTATAATATTTTAAATGCGTTGGTGGTCAGAAAAGGACTGTGGTGCATCATGTTCCTTTTCTGCCTGCATGTTGATTGGAAAGTATTCTTTCTAACTGCTGTATTTTTATACTCCTCTGTTGATGTTAGTTTTGCTGTTGGGGTGGAACTTAGCCAACCAATCCATTAATGGAGACTAGACTTCTTTTGGAGACTTTCTATTCCAAGCAGTGGGGTGAGCAATCAGAAAAACAAAACCAGAAGACACAAATGTAACAGCAGCTGCTTTAGTACATATGACTGACTTGACAATATTAAACTGTACAGTATCACTTTCATTGGCTTTAAGCAGACAATAGGGTGGTAGGACAACAGCTCAGATGCCCTAAATGCTGAATAAGATAGAACCTAGTTTGGTTGTCTACATTCCAATGGGGTGAGTTTATGACTTATGCTAGTCTTAGAGGTTTTGGCTTCTTTCTCTTTACATATATATACACAGAATGTGAAATGTGCAGGATATAAACAAAATCAACAGATATAGCAGTTATTGTTTTGATATATGAAGGAGCCTTAAAAGTACCAGTAGTTTCTGCAAAACAAAGTAAAGCACAAAATAGAGGCCAGGGCGGTGGCCAAAATATTTGCATGCCTTATTTGATCTGTTGCAATAATTGCTGATGCACACCTGGAGAGTAATCCTAAAGCAACAGATCTCAGTTCTGCTCTTGCTTTCATTACCATTTTAGCTGCCTTTTTGCTATGGTTATCTTAAGGCTTCTGTCCTGCTTAGAGCTTGCTAAGGATGCGATCTTCCCAATCCCATGTATTCTTGCCTCAAACAAAATCTACAGATCTGCAGTTCTGCGTATTTACACCACTTACCCTTGGTGATTAGAAGCCTCAAAATACATGTCATGAGATCTGGGGGAAGGAAGAGTCTGTTCAGAGGTGACTCCCCTGCTGCTCTTCCTGTGTGTATCTAGGGGGAAAAAGCTGTTGAAGCTTAGCTTCAATGTGGAGTTAGAAGAGCAACAAATAGCTCTGGAGAGGAAAGCAGAGTGGTTTTCCTTTCCTTTTGCTTCTGCTGGAAGTTCCTAATCTTGCCAAGAGCTCTGTTAGCATGGGGGCCCGTCAGTGTGTCTCTCTGCATTTAGAGTCCAGCCACACAGATCCTTCTGCAGCAGAAGAGGGCCTTTGTTAACACATTGTCAATATAGAAGCCTTTATCTCATCTCTAAGATAAGAACTTATGGGCTGTGCAATGATGACTAACAGTTGTCCTACCTAACTCACAGCAGTTATTCTGACAAACAATCTTGATCTAGTGCTAGAGCTGTGAGCTGCAGCTGAGACAGTCCAGGCTCTTGCTCCTCCCTTAGTAAAGGCTTTCCCTAAAGTATAGAGGCTTCCAGGAGTTAACTTCTATTGCCATGTGTGTTGTACTATGAGAAACTAAACTTTGTTTTTAAATTAGCAATGTGTTTTCTAACAGAACAATCTGGGCAAGGAGCTCTGCAGAAGAAGGCATGCACTATGTCAGGTTATAAGGAAGGGAATGGTAACTGTTTTCTGATAGCAGTCACAACTGTGGATGACCTTAACATATATCTTGGCCATTGGATGTTCTTATTTGTTTACAAAAAGACTTATTTTATGTAGGCAGTATCTGCCTGCATGGGGACTTCCTGCACCTCATTGTGCTCAATTTTTTTATAGTTTGTATGTAAGGAAATAGTTTTTACACAGAGGAAACAGGGTTTTAAGAGTGAAGTCCATAGTGAGGCATAAGTCCATTCTTTTTACACAGCACTTGCCTCACTGAGTTGCTCCTTCATCATTTCCTTCCACTATTGACCTTAAGCATCTAGATCTGCTGGTATAGGTAGGGTGGGAATGGACCAGTGCCTGACCACACTGCTTTGTCTACTTCTGAGCAAACATTGTGGGAAATCACCCTGAAAATAACTGTGATGACCTGTTTGTCCATCCTGCGGTTCCAGATCCAGCTGTGTATCTACAGGCCTTTCTAACAAATCAGTAACTGTTGGCATCTGGGTGTTCAACACCCCTAGATCCTCAGGCATGGCTTCCTGCTGGCCAGGCAAGTGTTACAGCCTTACCATTCACTGTAAAATCTGTACTGTGAACTTCCATGTGCAACTACTTAACAAAATCCTCAGCAAGGGTCAAGGATTCAGATGCCCAGTTCATAGATTCCAAACAACTTACACAATTGGGCTTTTAAAACCTTCTCAAGAAGTGCCTTCATACCTATTGCTGTGATAGCTGATAATTCAGGTGGCACTGGAACTGGAAAACCTGAACTGAGCCTGTGACTGGGTAATACTGCCTTGTGCATTACACTGGTGTATACAAGACTGAAGTCAGACCCACGGTGCATGTGGAAGACTAAAATAATCTGTGCTTGACAAACCTCTTAGGGGTGACTGTCTCAGATACTACTGCACAGTGTAAGATGAACTGGGAAGACTCACAAATAGCCTGATGCTTTTGTAAGTAAATGAGTAGTTGTTGCTTGCATTTACATTTAAACTGTAAACAGTTAACTTTCTCTCCCCTTATCTGAAAGTGCAGGTGTCTGCTCTGCTTGAGGTGGTTGGTGTCTGCTTGGTGTCTATCCTGCCTTGTGCCATAATTGTTCACTGAATTCTCAGGCGTAAGCAGAGCAGCATTTCTGGCTCCTAGTATTTTTGGGCTGTGTGAAGTGAGGAAGCTGTTGTTACAAACACAGGAAGAGTAGAGAACGTGTCCTGTACTAAGTTTCCTCTAGTTAATACTTGCAGTGTCGTGTACTGGACTCTTGGAAGAGCCAACTGCTGGCACAAGTTAGTTATGCTGGGAAGGTGAAATAATTTTATCAGCACTTTTCTACTTTTTCAAGTTGTCTGTCATAAGAAAGGATATTTGGAGCCTCACTGCTGCACGGTCTGAGACTGGAACGGTTTTGAAGGCAACTGAGAGCAGCAATCGTGACTAGTTCTTATTTGGGGTAAAATCAGTGGGATGGACTCAGAGAGCAAATATCTGAATCCAGACAGGTGGACTAATAAGTGATACCATAAAACCTCATTACAAATGTTTGGAAAGCAGATGAGTGTGCTTGTTTGCTGCTTACCACCTAGTTCCTCAAAGCGTGCAGGCAGCCCTTGCAGCTGGATGCCCAGTAAGGAACAGCACTGTGATCACATATCAGTATTGTTACACGCTTGTGATATTCTTAGCTCTGCACTTCAAGCATTTCTGTGGGGTTCAAAAAGCTTGTACTTGCCCAGCTAATTTGGTAAATTGTGGCTGGGTTGGGCCACTTTCATCTGACATGGGTAATTCAGTGTTGCTAATCTATGCATAGTCAGAAGGAGGGCTTGTCCCCCCCAGAATCATAAACGCCACATGTCTATCTATTTATTTATTTTGTGTTTTAGCACCTTTTTACAGATGTAGAAGCGCTCTGAGATTATAAACTGTGCACGTACAAATGCTTCATCGGCCACTGGTGTGGCCATTTCTGGGCTAGGATGTTCCTATTAATGAAGTAACCGTTGCACTTGTGAAAAAAAGCTGTTCTTTAACAGTTCTCTGGTTTTGACCAGTGCATCAGGAACATTTTGGAGCTGAAGACAGACTGCTCGAACTTTGGCTAGCAGCCCACGCTATCATGGGCATCTCTGTGAACACACTGGTAACAGAATAATCCACTGACGGTTTTAAAACATGCTATAAAGATTTTCTGCTATCAGCTGTTAGGCTTTTCTCCTGAATAAGTTGCTGAAGCATGATACCATGAGACTGTACCTGTGTGGCTAGATGGGCGAGCTTAAGTCTCCATGCAGACTTAAGCTAAAACTTAAGCTACAGTTTTGCTCTCGTCTTTCCTTCTGGGCTTTAGAAGCAATGTCTTTTGCTTGCTGGTTGTCTCTCCCTGTTTTATTTGCCTTTTTCTCCTTAGTTTGTTTTAAAAGGCATTGTAAACCTGCTTCACTCCCATTCTGCTTCCTGTCAAGTGGGATGTCTTTGGTGCTAGAATCTAGCAAAGAATTCTTTGCTATGTCTTGTTGATCCTTTCCTTTTATAGCAGGACAAACTGCAGTGTTAAAGTCAAGGATCATAGTTGATTATATGGATCAGTTTTCTCTATGAAAGCTGCTTCTTAGTTTTTTGAAATGGCCTGTGAGTTCCTGTGGGAGGAAAACACACAATGAGTGCCATGACATCTTACTTTGTGTTTTCAATTTTGTAAACAGTAGTTTGAACTGAGCATTTCACATGACTGTACAAGGGAATGCCAGGGGTAGAGTGCTTAGAAAGCTTTGGCTTTTTGTTCTTGTAACAGAATACATAACTTGGGAACTGGTGTCTCTCTGTGTTTTCAACATCCTGATGGCAGAATGCCCATGTGCCCACGGATGGGGATAGAATCACAGAATAGTTAGGGTTGGAAAGGACATTAAGATCGTCTAGTTCCAACCCCCCTCCCCCTGCCATGGGCAGGGACACCTCACATTAAATCATGTCAACCAAGGCTGTGTCCAGCCTGGCTTTGAACACTGCCAGGGGTGCAGGCACACTGAGCAGGGTTTGAAGTAGAAACTTCAGGAGACTGGCATGCTTTCTAATGCTGGATGAAATTCTGTAGATGTCAAGGGGGTCTTAAATCCAGCTTTGATTTGGTTTGTTGGTTGGTTTTTTTTTATCAAACCTGGTTTTGACTCATTCCCACCTGTTCAATAATGCTATTTTTTAAAGGTGGAATTTATTTAGATACAAACCCCATGTGCCAGTCTCCAATAGCTCCCAGTGCTGTGCTGGGCAGCCATTTGCACAGACTTCTTCAGAGCCATAGTGATCAGCTTTGAGACCTCTCCAGCAGCTGAAAGCTTCCAGGGCTTTTGCTCAGCAGAGCTGTGGGGTGCACCACTGCAGCCACGCGTTTGCCAAAGAAGCCTCGGTGTGAAGCCAACAAGAATTTTGGAAAGCTATGGGGAAATAATACCTTTTAACTCATACCAGGGCTTTACTTCTTTAACCAACACACGTCCAGGTGCTTAGGTGTCATTGGACATCCATACAGCCAGACTTAAGGCGAGGAGCGTTGACTTCCAGAGAAAATTGTTCAACTTGCCATATGCAAGGTGAGAAAACAGTTACTGAGAACATACGGGTTCACTGTCTGCTTTTTGTTTGCCACGAGGAGTGGTGCCCAGTCTGGTATATGCCATGTTCGAAAACTGGATGCAAAGTAGTCAAAATGTAAACGCATTTTCTTAGCGATGAGGGGATTTTAATTAGTCTTTTACAAGGTTCTTAATATCTCAAGGGAACTTTTTTGGTGTGTAAGTGTGGGGTTTTTTTATTTTATTAAGCTGTAGCCCAGGGAAGTGGAGGTTTGCTCGTTTATTTAACTTTTTTGTGAGTTTTTGTGATCTGTAGTAATCGTAACACTTTGACTTTTAAGGGTTGGTAAAGACGTCAGAGTTTTAAGATCTTAATTGTAAAATAGTCAACAGCTTTGCCTTTTTTAAAGCATGTTAATGGTTTTTATGAACACTTCCTTTTGTATACTGAGTGAATGTATTGTTATAGATTTAATGTTTAATGGACCAATAAAGTTTTTCTTACATTTGAAATGAATTGGTCTGATGTGTAAAAATTGAAAAGTCCATTTGTTTTGGGAGAAACTTGAGACATATACAAATATATGAGGTAAGGAGTTTCTGAGGCAGTAAAGGTAAACTGATGGATCATTTTTATTCACTACACTGGGACATTGTTTAGCAATGAAAATGTTGGCCTATGGAATATTACATGTCTTCCCTGTCCATATGGTTTTGTATCCCTCCAGAGCGTGACCTTCACGAGATGACAGGTTGCACAGACTCATCTGTACAATCGACCTCTGAGATGTGTCGGGTACCTCTGACAGCACAAACAGAATATTTTCCAGGCCAAGGATAGCGCTGAAGCCCAAGGAGCTGTCTGAAACAAGGATTTCTCATTTGTTTTCTCACTTGCCTGGGTGGTGGCGTGGACAGCAGCTGAATGAGACACCTAGATCCACACCAGGGAAAGTGCTGCATCTCCCTGCACCACCCTGCGGCCCTTGCTTCCTGCCATCCGCATTTGGGCTGTTGCAGTCTTGTACCAGTGTCGGCTGGCTGCAGCCTGCCTGCTGGGGCTGGTTGTGCCTGTGTCATAGACCCACACCAAGACATGGGTTCCCTGTGGCAATGAGAAGCTGCTGACCAAGTTTCATAGGGTGGAATGGAGGCTGCTGTTCTCCATGCAGCTCTGGTGCGCGTAGTGGCAGGCTCTGTGTTCTGACCATGGTGCAGGTGGCTCCTGAGCAGTGCCAAGGGTCTGTGAGAGCAAGAAGTCCTTGCTCAGCAGCCTGCCGCTGTTGTGCCCACCCCTACCTTCACCTCACCCTGCAGCACCACGGCAGGATGTTCTCCCCTGGAGTTTAAAACCAGGAGAACAGAAGCATTTGAATTGTGTTTGTCACAGTGTTTGTAACGTGCAGGAAACAGTTAACCTGTGGTGAGACGTTAGACCCTGATGCAGGAGTCCCAGGACTCTGCAGCTGCCTCTCCAGCAGAGTTCGGCTCTGCTCTGCAGGTGGTGGGGGCAAGGGGAAGCTACACATAGGGTTTGAAAGATGTAGGATTGCAGCATCTTGTCTTGCCAGAGGCCACACATGGAGCTACGTCTGTGCTGCAGAATCATCCAGAAAGAGGTGGTGGCGCAAGAGGAGCTTGTTTAAACACACACAAGGACTGCACTGTCTCTGATGGGAAGGTGAGGGGCAGGAGGTTTCCCAAGCCCAGACTATGACCTGGGGGCAAATGTTTGTCTGCAACAGCTGGACTTCGCTATTCCTCAGCTTGCTGTTCCTCAGTTCCAGCAGTCGGTGTGTCGACACAACACACAGTGAGCTCTGGCAGCCTGCTGTAATGTTCCAACAGCACCTTCTGAAACAAAGGAAGAGCTCAGGCTGCTTGAGCTGTAACTGGTTTCTGTGGCTGCAGGTTGACAAAGGCAGTGTGTTTTCTCCTGGGGGAAGTTAGAAGCTCACAGCTTCATGCAATTGCCTTTGACAGCACAAGAGCCTCCTTCCTTCCAGTCTCCAGTGGGAGTGGCATAGACTGGAAGAGAGCCTGGGAATGGCCACATTCAAAGGTAGCAAACTGATGTGACCAGCAGCCAGGG